ATTTTTTTAAGAAATCAGGTTGCCTCTGCGACCAAACTGGTTGCACTCTAGAGCCCTGCTAACTGTTGTTTTGGCATACAATCAGGTACAATCTTAGGTACGCAAGGGAGCTTTATGACGTCCCATCTGGAGCGCTTTTTCCTTTTTTGACAGCGCAAGCGCACCGGTTATATGCCACTCTGGTTATACTTCATTTTTWTTGCAACCTGCAATTTATTTCAGCTTACTTTTAATAGTTCAGTTGTTCAAAAAATAAATAAAAAAGTTGTGTTTGGCTGGAAATTGTGTACATAATTTTGCTACCTGGTGGGGAAAATTTTTGACCTTTTTCCTGGTGAGGCTCCGATGTGCCTTGTGGGGACAAAAGCCCAGTCCCCATTGGGGAAAACACCGTTAGTGGGTCAGGGGTTAGGGTTTAGGACTTAGCCAAATAAACATGCACATACGGCGGGCCCATTAGTTCTTCAAGTTAATTTTATTGTTTTGTGATATTATTAATGCTAATACATTGATATTTTTCTAATTTTGATCTAATTTTGCTTTAGTGTTGTCACAGCTGCTAGGCGACATGACGTACATCGGGGTAAGGACGGGAGGCTAGACCGTCCAAATTCACAGACTTTTTTTCCGGTCTTCCCAGTCTACCAAGGATCCATTCCACCTCGACCAGGTAGGCTGAGTCCTTCGGAGGACCCAGCCTGCCGTTTTGGACACAGCTAATATCTGACATCTGAATGTTCATGAATGAAATATCATTTCGTGTGTGGTGTGTTGTCTCTTGCCATGTGGCTGTACACCACACACTGTAGGACCAAACCTGGTATATCCAGGATTTTTTATCCTCACATGTGGGCTCTCTCAGTCTTTGAAAATCGGACAACTGTTTTAAAATCTTGCAGTGTGACGCAGCCTTTACTGGACGCTTGGTGAGGAAACTTCTCCGGGTTCTGTTTAGACCTTGGTTCCGGTGATGGGAGTCAAGGAAAAAAACCTTCACCACATATTAAAAACAGTACTGAGTGGTAACTGCCTTCCCATCTAAGCCCTGGCATGGAAACAAACTGGTGCATTATTTAAAAAAAAGTAACAAACTGGGGCTAATTGATATTATACAGAGTGTGTTCTACTACAGATGAGGTAACCACCAGTGAGGCTAGCGTTTCAAAAATAAAGGTGCAATTAATTTAAAAACAATTGTTCACAGATGTGCATGAACAGCATTATTCCAAACTGACAGTGACTTCACATTTGCTGTCCTCATGACTTCAGCATCAGAGATCTCCTCAAAGTTGTCTGACTGGTGGCCAAATTTGTCTCTCATCGTTATAAAGTCTGATGAGCTGTTTCATATTAGGACCAAATGTTATGAAGCGAACAGCGCTAACAGGCTGGGAATGCAGCGAGCAGCAACATGTTCTTACTGCTGCGCTGTGAGTAACTGCCCGTCACTTCCAATTAAAATGACGGAAAAGATGATCAGGACCAGGACGGGGAGGTGAGAGGAATGCGTGTGTGTGTTCTGGTGTCTTACAGCATGTCTGGGCAGCTCTGTGGTTTCTCCAGCAGCCCCCCCTCCATGACAAACCGAAGGACTTGTTCGTTGGACAGACCCTGGTAGGGCTGTTCTGCCAGAGTGGCGATCTCCCACAACACAACTCCAAATGACCTGCGGAGGGACAACCAGGACGTGGGTAAACAGGAGCGGGTTTCATCATAACTCAGGTTTTTCAGGACTGCTGTGCGAGCCTGCTTACCAGACATCAGAGTTGGTGGTGAAAACGCCATCCTTTAAAGACTCCGGTGACATCCAGCGGACAGGGAGCAAACCTTTTCCTCCTTTTCGATAGTAATCKGTCTCATAGATGTCTCTGGTCATGCCGAAATCTACACGCAGAWAACGTCCATTAAAAACACCCACAGCATTTGATAAATTTAGGAGAAATGTTTATACATTTTTTTGTTTCTTAGCTGGATAAATAAAATACAAAAAGAAATACAAAAATACTCTCCGTGACTCGTTTTCAGCTGACACTTTACCTCCTATCTTTACGGTGAAGTCTTCGGCCACCATGCAGTTCCGGGCAGCCAGATCTCGGTGGACGAACTTGTTGGCYTTGAGGTAAGCCATGCCGTCTGCAATCTGGCCCGCCATCTGAAGCATCTTCTTCAGTGGAGGGAGAGACAGGCTCGAAAACTGCTGCTGCAGACACAGACGGGAAAAATTTAATGCCCATTAAAAAAAAAACTTTTGGTATTAAACTTGAGATGAAGCTATGTGAATAAGAAAATCAATGCAAAAAAAAAAGGCTAATTAAAATTTTCATGCATTTCTGTTTAGATTATTTTCCTTTGTGCATTACAAGCAACAGGTTTGTTTGAAGTTCAGCCTTAGACTGATCAAAACATGCAGCCAAATGTACAAAAATATGGCTTCATTAAAAAAAAGTATGTAAAAAAACAGAGAACACTGTGCAGCTGTGAGTAGGGTTACCACAAACGATTATTTTTATAGTCGACTAACCATGGCAGCCCTAGCTGTGTGACAACCTACCTCTTTAGGACGCAGCGAGCGCAAGTAACTCTTCAGGTCTCCTCTTGTCATCAACTCCATGATGACCAGCGTGGGCTGGCCCTGAGAGACCACGCCCAGGAGACGAACCTGTAACAAACCACACAAACACTGACTCGCGCCCCCAAAGAGCTGCTTGTCATCATGCTGGGTTTATATGAAGCCGACGGATCTGACGGCTGCGTTTAGCCTCCGGCTGTGTGTTTGGACATACAACGTGGTGGCAGTTAAACTCCTTCATGACCGAGGCCTCGTTCAGGAACTCGATCCTCTCCCTCATGCTGGCAGACTCGTTGACAGTCTTGACGGCAACGCGCGTCTCTGGCTCGTCTTTGACCACGCCCTTGGCCACGCCCTCGTACACCATACCGAAAGACCCCTGGCCGAGCTCGCGACACAAGGTGATCTTCTCCCGGGGAACCTCCCACTCATCTGGTACGTACACTTTACCAACAAACAAACAGACACAGGTTTGTGTTAATACAGGCATGTCAATCTACACAAACGGTCTCCACCGTGTCCACAACACACACTCACTTTCTGCAGCGCTGAAGTATTCAGGGTTGACCGACGCGTACAAGACTCCCTTCCCCAGCCTGTCACTGTTCCTGTTYGAAACAAAAACCAAAGTATTTTCATCTCGAGACACCTTCGCTTCTCGTTTCCTGTAATTTCTCAAACAACATAAATCAAAAAAGTTGCAGTTTTGATATAAAAGGTATTTAAATATTATAATATCATCTTTATCTGCTAACAAGTTTTATGAATAATACCCAGAAAAACAAAAAGCAGTGGATTAGCTAAATCTGGACGACACAACTGACAAAAAAGATGATCAAAAGTTCATGTTGGAGGAAAAAAAAATCAACAGCAATCATTGTTTTTGTACATTTTATAATTCTGAAACTAGATATGTTTCTTCCTTTTGATGACCCAATATATTCACCCATTCTTCGATGATTAAACAACTATGTGCACACACCTTTTCTTGTTGAAAACCACCAGTATTGTGACCAGGAAGCAGATTAAGAGGACGATGGTGATGGGAACAAAGATCATAGCGTAGAAGGCGTTTTCATATCCTGTTTGACCAAACAAGTTGATTAATATACCTGCTCATGCTGCCGGTGTGTTCTTAATATACAATGATTAACGGACACACAACAGAAGAAATACTAGAGCTTGAAGTTGTGTGTCTTACTTTCAGCCACATAGAAATGCAGATTGTGTGTCCAGGAGCCATTGCCAGCCAGTGAAGTTGCTCTGACTCTGACAGAGTAGTTTCCTGGACTGAGGTTGGACAGCCGGACGCCACGGTGAGTCCGGTACACTTGTCCAGATACACACTCGTGCTTCTCAGTCTGACAGAAACACACACACACACACACACACACACACACACACACACACAC